GTGATCACTTTGGTACTTATTCCTGTGATTCTAGAAACAAGAACATCTATTTGCTCCCTGCTTCCTTCTATACTCTCTATTACACCAATAAGCTTCTGTGGTTCCACTTCTTTAAGTATCACTTTAATACTTGCTACCTTTTTTTTGCTTGATGAGAAGCTTTCTTTAGACTGCCTTGTAGACTTTTGCTCTTCTAACATTATAGATATTCTTGTTTTCTATTTCTCAAAATGACTTCGGCTTTTTTGCTAAAAACCCTAGAATATTTCCTGGTTGCCTGCGTTTCGTCTGATTTAAACGTAGAATACTTGTCTTCTATTGGCTTACATGTGATACGTCAAGTTAGATATTTCTCTATATGTAGTTTGTTTACTTTGTTTTGTGACTCTTGTGTTATGTTAGAGGATTTGCAAGACAGGGTAAACTCAAATCTCTACTTTTTTAAAAATTTCTACGAATTTTCTTTGAGAGTCAAGTTTTCTTCTAGATTCTTTCTAGTTTTTCTATCTTTCATTTTCTACTAAGTGTAACTTTGTATGCTCTTTCCTTTTTCTTATTGCCTCTTGTATTGTCTCTTAATACAGTTTTTCTGAAAAATACATTTTTTCTTTAGCTTAAAAAATGGTCCAAATAATCTATAGAAAGAGTTTTTTTGAGCATATTTTTTAATTATTATATTTTTATATTATTATATATATTTAAATTTAGTTATCATTGTTTTTCTTAATAACTTATAAGCTAAAAATAGTTTTAGATTTACTATTAGATTTAGTTTGAAGAGATCTTTCAAATGAGCTATAATTCATAACTATAGAACTCTTAGTTTTTGAGTTGTCTTAGAAACAACTAAGAAACAGTTACTGTTCTTACCGTTCTTACTATTCTTACTGTTCTTACTATTCTTACTATTCTTATCCTTAATTGTAAAAAGCTATATAAACCCTCTCTTTTCTTTTTACCCTAGATTAGATTTGTCCTCTACAATCTCTTAGTAATAATAGTAAAATAGTCTTTTAGTTAAAAATACAATACTCAATAAAGTTTTAAGTTTTCTACTAGTTCTTTAATAAATATAATCTTTTGGCTTTAAAAATAAACTTCTCTAACAAACTACTATAGTGATATAACATTCTACTTTGACACTATTAGGAGTCCTCTTTCTGTGTCTTATGTTACTTGAGATGTATTAAAAAGGCTACACTACTTGTAACAATACTTAGAAAATTCTAAAAAGTTCTAGAACATTCTGTAAGATTTCAGAAGTTACCACGTGATTCCAAGATATTTCAAGATATTCTAAAACATTCTATAACATTCTAGACTATTTTACAATTTTCTGTATAACATAACCAAAAACTATAACTAATTATTATACAAAACTATTACTAATAAAATTTTACTAAAATACTATATTAAACAAATAATAAAACTCATCCATACTGCCATCGGCACTCTGTATAGGTAACAAATATAAAAACTAAACAAAATAAATAAAAACTATAACAAATATACTATAAAAATACTAAATCAAATAATAAAACTAAAAATAAAATAAATAAAAAATAAAAAAATAGAAAATTATAGGCATAACAATATCATATTTATATATTTATTAGTAATAACTAAATAATATTATATTTCTAATAGATTTTAATAGCTAGTATTAGAATTAAATATATTTGTATAGGTTTTATATATTTATAAATATTAGTATACTTAAAATATTATCTTATCTAATAAAGTAATAAAACAACTTGCTTGATTTCTACTAACTTATTCTTATATATAATATACTGTATACAGTATCGATAAGATATACGTATAAAAAGAAGTTTGATAAATATGTATGTATGACGAAAAACCAGAAGTCTTGTGTATAAATAAAATTTTATTAATTATTGTATTTAGTTAACTATACAAATCAAATTAAATATACACGTAGATCTATCTTTAGAAAGATTATGGATTTATTTTATTCAGTAAAAAAATACCAATACCGATACAGTATTTTTGAAATACAATATATAAAAAAATATTGGAAAGCATTGTGCGAATATTCCCACAATTTCGTATGTGCAAACAAGTTATGTAACGTATTTATTTATTAATGTCGAAGTTAAATCAAGAAGAAATTCTTGCAATGAACAAGTAATTTTCTGGAATTTCAAGTTAGATTTACAAATACTATTTCTATAGGTATACGAATATAGCAATCTTCGTTGCACCAAAAACTGCTATGTCGTAATTTTTTAAAGCCACATTGTTCACATTATCACTGGGTTAGGGTCTACATAGTTTAGTAGTGCTATAGTGATAAAGCATCATTGGTGGTGTCAGGATCAGCTAGCCAGACCTGGCCTATCGCTATTTGCAAACTGAACCAATTAAAACTAAGAAATTCATTATTTATTAATGTATTCAGTAACATAGTTTTTCCGTTTGTCTATTCTTTCACAAACTGAGAATATCAATTTTTTTTTTAAAAAAAAAAGTAACGCGAGCTTTAATAAATATAAATAAAGTTTGTAAAATTTAAATTAAAGATTCGCGTAAAGCTTTATTTGTCGAAGAATTGTTATTATAAAGACACGGTAAGTCGAATTATATGGGTGAAAATACTTGTTAAAAAACGTAAATTTGTGGAACTTATCAAATAACTGAATTATCACGTCGGTTAAAAATATGAATAATTTGAAAATTATCGGTTTTTTTTTTTTTTTTTATTTTACAAAAAAGACTGATTGAATTTTTTATGGGCAATGTACTTGTTTCCGCCACAAACATTTTCCTTGGGTTATCACAGTAAAAAAATAATGAGTAATACTTGGAAAAATCCAAGTAGCAGCAATTATAATAACACAGCTAGAGATTCATGGCCTCAAGAGAGCTCAGGAACGAGAGAATTACCCAATGACGAAGATATTCGAGGACCGAAACAAGAACCAATTCCTGATAAAGATAATTGGAATTTAGGAAGACCATCGGCATCCACTGACGATGAATGGGTAACGAATAAATCAGCTCCCGAAAGTGGTTGGGGAACACGAACCTCTAGTAATGATAATTGGGTACAATCTTCAACCCCTCAAGATGGTTGGGGACCACAGGTTCCTAATGAAGGCAATTGGGCACAGGCTTCAACCTCTCATGAGGGTGGTTGGGAAACACAAGGAGCGCCAGTAAAAGTTGATTGGGCGAATAAACAAGAAAATACTTCCACTGAAGATGTGCTTATAACCAGTCAAGTAGAGGAGGAAGTGCAATCTGCCTTTGTTGAAAATGATGTAATGAAAGAGGGGCCAACTCCTTCTCAAGATCAAGAAGATAATCGCGTGATAAAAGCAAGTCCCTTATATGACGATTATGAGGGTGATGAATGGGTAACAAGTGGTGAAAACAATTATACAACAAAGCAAGTTCCCACTCCCGAAGAAGATGAATGGATAACAAGCCAACCGTCTGCTTCTTTCAATGATTATAAAAACGATCATATGATAAAGCAAGCGCCTACTCTTGAAGAAGACGAATGGTTAACAACCTCGATTCATGATCGTGAAGATCAATGGAAAAGACAACGTTTTCGTCACGAAAGTAACGGTTGGAATAGAAAAAGTCCGTCTGAAGATAATCGTGTATCTAAAAAATTTGATACATATAAAGATTCATGGGGTGGTAAAGGCCGCTCTGAAGGCTCATGGGAAGCAAAGAAAAATGGCGCAAATGATGGATCTTCCTTAAAGTATACTAGCACTCGTGCCAGATCTGTTGATCAACCCTCAAAAGTTACTTTAAATAATCCAATCGATACGTTAGAGATAGAACCTGATGATTTATCTGTACGTTTTTTTAACTGTCTTGAAATCCTAGATTTGTTTATACTAGATCTTAACGTTCGCTTATTTTAAAGACTCTTGCTATGCAGGAAGTAATCCATAATTCTTTTACAACACTACAAATTAAAAAGCAGCATAACGAATATAACCAATTTGAAGAACATGACTTAAATGATAATTCAGATCAACATTATATTCAACAGCACACATCAGGTATTATACCTTAGGAAATTTTTTATAAAAAATTTTTTTTCAATTTTACAATTATTAATATATTATCCTTTTTTAGGATCCAATAATAAAAACGATAATTTGGAACAAGCAGAGTCTTCGTTCGCTACCAATTATCAAGAGCGGCCGGGCAAAGTGTTTCGTGATGTAGGAGTTCAAACTGATCCGATTGATTTAACATCACTCGAAGTGCATTTAAATAGTATTGATCCCTCAATAATGAACATTTTGCGCGAAAAGTTGACTTCATATGGTGTTGGGCCGATCAAAAATATGTCATCAATAGAAGCTTTTGGTTCAAAAAATACGTTACCTTTACCTGCATTATCGACGCAAAATAATTCGACAATAGATATTGAACCGAATGATATTGTCAAGTTTGAGCAAATAAAAGTCTACGTCTATAAACCGGAAGATTCGTTTGTTAAGCAAAATAATCCGGGTAATACATGGAGTGCACCTACAGAAAAGCCAACTAATTTAGGTCAATGGGGTACTTCTACACAATTATCGAATGAAAATGAAAATGCTGAATCAAAATTGAACGCTCCTTCAAATGAACCGCCACAAATGATTTCTAATACGTGGAATGCACCTACAGTAAAGCCAACTAATTTAGGTCCGTGGGGTGCTTCCATGAAATCATCGAATGAAAATGTTGAATCTAAATGGAACGCTCCTTCGAATGAACCATCACAAGTGACTTCTGATACATGGGGTGTACCTACAGAAAAGCCAACTAAATTAGATCCATGGGATGTTTCCATAAAATCGTCGAATGAAAATGTTGAATCTAAATTGAACGTTCCTTCAAATGAACCGTCACAAGTGACTTCTAATACATGGGGTGTACCTACAGAAAAGCCAACTAAATTAGGTCCGTGGGATACTTCCACAAAATCGTTGAATGAAAATGTTGAATCCAAATTGAACGTTCCCTCGAATGAACCGTCACAAATAACTTCTAATACATGGGATGTACCTACAGAAAAGCCAACTAAATTAGGTCCGTGGGATACTTCCACTAATGAAAATGTTGAATCCAAATTTAACGTTCCTTCGAATGAACCGTCACAAATGGTTTATAATACATGGGGTGCTCCTACAGAAAAGCCAACTAATACAATTAAAGATAGCTCAGGTCCTTCGTATGAATCAGTACGAAAAAATGTAGATCCTTGGGATGTGAAACCGTCCAATGAGCTGCCACAAATGACATGGGATGCACCTACAGAAAAGCCAATAAATACAATTAAAGACAGTTCAGGTCCTTCGTATGAGACATCACAAAAAAATGTATATCCTTGGGATGTGAAACCGCCTAATAATTCGTCACAAATGACATGGGGTGTGCCTACAGAAAAGCCAACAAATACAATCAAAGACAGCTCAGGTCCATCGTATGAGACAGCAGTAGATTCTTGGAATGTGAAACCGTCTAATGAACCGCCCCAAAAGACATGGGGTGCGCCTACAGAAAAGCCAATAAATACTATTAAAGATTCAGGTCCATCGTATGAGATAGCACAAAAGAATGTAGATCCTTGGGATGCGAAACCATCTAATGAACCACCGCAAATGACACGGGGTGCACCTACAGAAAAGCAAATAAGTACATTTAAAGATAACTCAGGTCCATCGTATGAGACAGCACAAAAAAATGTAGATCCTTGGGATGTGAAACCTTCTAATGAGTCGCCACAAATGACATGGGGTGCGCCTACAGAAAAGTCAATAAATACTATTAAAGATTCAGGTCCGTCGTATGAGATAGCACAAAAGAACGTAGATTCTTGGAATGCGAAACCGTCTAATGAACCGCCACAAATGATATTGGGTGGGCCTACAGAAAAGCCAATAAATACTATTAAAGATAACTCAGGTTCATCGTACGAGACAGCACAGAAGAATGTAGATACTTGGGATGTGAAACCGTTTAATGAACCACCGCAAAAGACATGGGGTGCGCCTACAGAAAAGCCAACAAATACTATTAAAGATAACTCAGGTCCTTCGTATGAGGCAGCACAAAAGAACGTAGATCCTTGGGATGCGAGACCATCAAATAAGCCGCCGCAAATGACATGGGGTGCGCCTACAGAGAAGCCAACAAATATAATTAAGGATAGTTCAGGTCCTTCATATGAGACAGCACAAAAGAGTGTAGATTCTTGGGGTGTGAAACCGTCCAATGAGCCACCACAAATGGAATGGGGTGCACCTACAGAAAAGCCAACAAATACTATTAAAAATAACTCAGGTCCTTCGTATGAAACAGCACAAAAGAATGTGGATCCTTGGCCGTCGCAAAAGACATGGGGTGCGCCTACA